AATTTAATATTTATTTAAAGTCTTAAAGAAATATCAAGATTTTAAAGATATTTTTGAAAAAATATATATATAAATACTCTTCTAAAATATTGCCTTTATGATTGTTCAATAGATCTTCAAGAAGGAGTTCAATTGCCATTTGGACCAATCGATAATTGCAAAATGAGTTGGCTAAACTCAAAGAATACATTGATATGAATCTAACTAAGAATTTTATATATTATTTGAAATCTCCAACAAGAATTTTTATTTTATTTAAAATATATATATATATATATCATTACCAATGTATATAAATTATCAAAGATCCAATAAGATCACCATCAAGAATAAGTACCTTCTACCTTTAATAGCAAGACTTCTTGATCAACTGAATTAATCTAAGATCTATATTAAAATAGATTTACAAAGAACATATGACCTAGTATACATCAAAAAAAGGAGATGAATAGAAGAAAATATTTTGAACTAGATATATACATTTGAAATACAATGTCATGCCTTTTAAACACACAAATATTCTAATTATTTTTCAACAACTTATAAATGATGTTTTTTAAAAATTTCTACATAATTTTGTCATATTTTATTTAAATGATATCTTAATTTATTCTAAAAGTATAAAATAGTGTAAACTTTATGTTTGTCATATGTTATAAAATATTAAAGATGTAAGATTATATATCAAGATAAAATAGTATATATTTCACATTACTCAAGTTGACTTTTTAGGTTCCATCATTTCAAAAAATTATCTTATGATGGATCTTAAGAAAGTTCAAATATAATATCAGTTTTTTAATCTTTTTTGAAATTTATTAATTATTATTGGATCTTCATCAAGAATTTTTTTAAGTTGTAGCTCTACTTACTTATTTAATATGTAAAAACAAACTTGTGTGGAAAAAAGAAGCTAAAGTATCTTTTAAAATTCTAAAGATAGTATTTATTTCTATGAATTTTATTATAGATCTTTTAATCTTATATTCTTATGTTTCTATATTTATGATAGTAGATTGTTTCACCAAGATGGAACATTTTGTATCATGTACAAAGTCTATCACATGTAAAAAAATAGCTAAGTTTTTTCTTGATAACATCTATTGCTATCATAGATTACTCAAAGATATTATATCAGATAGGGAGATTCAATTTATATGAAGATTTTAGAGATTTCTTTTTAAAATTCTAAAGATCAACATAAAATTATTTGTGGCTTTTTATCTTTAAATTTATAGACAAATAAAGTGTTTAAATCAAGTTTTAGAATATTATTTGAAATATACCATTAATTACCAACAAGATGATTGAACAACTCTTTTGCCATTGATCAAGTTTGCTTATAATAACATAGTTTATTTTTTAACTCAAAAAATACTATTTTTACTAATTATGATTATTATCTACAACTTAATGCTTTTGATTTCTCAAAAGTCAATAATCATGTAGTAGAAGATTTGACAAATTATTTATTAGAGCCATGTACAACAATGAAGGTATAATTAAAAGAAATTCAAGAATAACAAAAGATCAATAAAGATGCTTATTGCAAACAACAACCTCAATTCTATATTGGCAATAAGATAAGATTACATTGTTGTAATACTAAGATTATTTGCCTTAATGATAAATTGGATTATTATAAACTTTATCCATTTCTTCTATATATATTATAAACAAATCAATCAAGTTTCTTATCAATTACATATATCTTAATTTATAAAGATCCATCTAATATTTCACATGTCTCTTTTTGAACCATATAAAATAATGAATATTTTGAAAAAAAGAAAAATACCACCGCCTTCTATAGAAATAAATAATAATCAAGAGTTTAAGTTGGAAGAAGTCTTAGACTCAAGGTAATATTAATTTGGATTAGAATATCTTATTCATTTCTGTGGATATAATATTAATGAATGCACATAGGAGCCATCAAAGAATCATGCAAATATAAGACAGAAGATCAAAGTTTTTTATCAATATCATTTATTAAAACCAAAATAAAGAATAAAGTAATTTTTTTCAATGGAAGAAAAGATGTTCAATGAAGATTATATTCTATCTTTCAATTTCCATTGTAATTTTTTTATATTAGTAGAGCTAACAAGATTAAAAACCAGTATCTAGCAAATTCAATTCAAAAGCTATTGTTTATTGATTTACTAGATGAGACATTATAATTGTTATAACTTTCAAGATAACATAATAGAGATGAAGACCTTCAAAAATGACATATTCTTCCTTGAATAGATAGCAAGATACAATATGTTTGATATCACAATCTTGAAAGAGACTTCCAATTTTTGGTCATTTTATTGGAGGTAGAAACAATTTTTGATGGTGTTATAAATATTTCATTTGAAAAAAGTTACAAAGGCCTCAATAATGATTAAATATCATGGTGGTCTTTCTATCCTAGAATAAGACATTATCAATAGGTAAGAGGACCTATTAATTACCTTTGAAGAGAACAAAGATCAAAATATGTGACAAATATAATTTTTTGTATCTTAGACTTTCTCAATATGTAATCACCACTCTTTGTGGAACTTGTCCCTAGAAGGGGGGATAATATTATAGACATATATATTTATTCTAATAATTATCTAAATAATATAAATAAGTAGAAGTAAGTAAAAATAAATAAATTAAATAATATCTTATAGAATAGTTTTTTAGAAGCTTCATAGACTTGATTTCATCTTCATACATATCTTTAGGTGATTGATAGGTTGAACACTTGGCCAATAAGTTAGCCACATATTACATATATTGATAGCTTGTGGTATAAGCTAACTATATAGTGCACATATAAGAAACTTGCCTTGTAAGTTAAGACATGTGTCTTGCAAATTGGACATGTATTGGAAGGCCTATAGAACATCACTACATATCTCTTAATTAGATAGTATACATCGAGGTAAGAGTGAAGATTTCTTCACTCTTTTTAACTCCTTTTTTGCTTCTAGTTTAGTTTCAAGTTTCTCTAGTTTTTCTTGTCTTTTGACAATAGCTATTTCAATTTTTTTTTTAATAAACATATTTACTTATTTCTATTTTTTCATCTTTCTTTGACAGAAGTCTCATTTTTTTATTTGTTTTTATCAAGTCCTTGACTTTGATATATTAATTACATTATTTTGATATTATAAATAAATAAAACTCCTATTCATAAAATAAAATAGTAAGTAAAATATTTTTAGTCGTTATAAATTATATTAATATTTTTTTAATTTTATTACAAAGGTTTTATATTTGTAAAAATTAAAAAGATATAATATGTTATTGTTATGATATATTATAAGTTTAATTGAAAAATAAATTTTAGATAATTTTAAATAATCCATTATAATCAATCTTATAGAATTATTTATAAAATACATATAAATAATTTTGTAGATTTTGATTGATTATTAGATAAAAAAATCTTATATTTTCCAATAATGCAACAATCCTATTCAAGATATTGAATTACCATTATAAATCAAAGACATTGATATTAAAACATTTTAGATCAATATCAAATCTCCATTGACAAAATAAAGGTTTGATTAAAAACTAAAAATATATTAAATAGAAATCAATGTATAGGTCTTTACAAAAATATTTGACATGTTATAAAAATATTTCAAAATTTTATAATTAATATTAATAATTATTCTAAATAGAAGCTTTTATTTATCAAATTCTATTTTATAATGAGTAAATTTTTTGTATTGATAAAATATTCTGAAAAAAATAATTAGTCCTATATAGCTATCTTTTAATTGAAAAATAAAGAAATAATTTAAAATTTAATTGTAGATTAAAATTATTATTATGATATAGCATACAACATTCTTTCAAATTATTATTCAAATAACTTTGAAGTTAATAGACATATTAGTTTTATTGTTGCTATATTTGAAGAAGTTAATAATATGATTTTATGTAAAAAATTAAATAATGCAATTAGAAATATGTATTGTAAAGAATTTAAATTAGAAATAATCTATTAAAATAATTAAAATATTTGTATTATATAAAAGATAGAAAGAAAAATTCTTTGGAATCATTACTTGATATCAAAAGTTTATAACTTTTAGAATGTATTAATAAAGAATGTTTTTGGAAAAGCTTATAAATCCAAATGTTTGAGATTCTTTTATACTACTAAAAGACTAGATGTTACATAAAATGAGTATTCTAGCAAAGGAGTTGGTATCTTAATCAAACTATACTTACTTCTTTGATTTTTTTTATAGCAATAAAAAAATAATACTATTAAAAGTAATAAATTTCTTACATTAGATCCAATAAGAGGAAAATTTTATTTGGCAATGGAATTGATGCAAACAAGTGTAATAAAAGATTTTTAAAGAAAAAAATTAATACTATATGTATGTATTTTTTATTAATAATATTATTTATTAAATTACAAAAACAATGTGTTCCTTGTATAACATTGTTTTATTTGTGCAACTCCAAACTCCCATTCAATTTAAGCTTCAGTTAGATTTTTAAAATAATATAAGAATTTTTAACATTTATTTAAGGAAAAAAATATATATATGATATTTTTTAACAATATTCTTAGAATTATATAATTGATCTTTAAGAAAATATTCAACTTCTATTTGGATTAGTTTACAAACTATTCTAAAACAAATTATTTATCTTAAAGTATCTTATTAAGAAATTTTAATAATATATATTAATATTTAAAATTCTTTAAAGTTATACCAATATTTTTGTAAATAAATTTTGGATCTTTGATTTTGTAGATTGTTGTAAACTGAATATGTTGATTATAAAAAATTATAATTCTTAATCATGTATACTTTTACTTATCAATTAATTAAAAGAAGTAAATTTTCATAGAAAAGTTAATATTAAAATTATATTTTAAAATTATTAAGTTACCTATCGTAATCCTATTTGTGCCATGTGTGTTCGATGACGAGCCTTAATTTTATCCACCGAGACATGCCATGAGAAGATAACTGATGACACAAGCATGCACCAAAATACACTCTACAATATTACTTGCAATAGATTCACATCTTCTTGTGTGAAAAGAATAAGAAAAAAATCTTGTCGAAGTCTAAGTAAAGACGGAAAAAATGATAGTAAAAGTCAAGTAAGCAGGTACTTAGATCGTAATGAGAATGTGCGCAAGTAGTAGTATGTCGCACAAGCGAATCCACTGCCAACTACAGCGATACCCACAGCAGCCCAGTATGGCGCAACGGGCCTTGAGTCATATGCAGAGCGTACTTTCATCCCATTTCCAGGGTTCTGAGGAGAAGGCCCATAAAAGTCCATTAGGTAATAGTACACAGCCTCCTCGTCCCAGTCGAAAGTCAAGCTGCTGGTTTTGTCGCGGCATGCGGGACAGTCATTCTCTGCTGGCCACAACTTCGACGAATTTCCTTCCGTTTTGTGTTCCTCTGATGCAACAACCTCAGTGATCTGCAATGTAGGTAAGACATCCTAGTTAAGAATTCCAACCATGTTTACAACTCAATATCGAAGATAGTATTTATGTCCATGCAACGTTCCTAAAAATAAAGAAAAATGATTGAATCACCAATAACACAATACATTGATTGTAGCAATTGAAAAAACAGTCTGAGCATCTTAGTAAGGGAAATACATTGCTTTAAAGATGAGAAGAAGCTTACCATATTGTGGATCCTCCACAGCCATAGGACCAGGTCCCTCTTACTTATTTGTGAACTAGCTTGACTTCTGAAAACAGCCATGTCATAAAATGAATCGTGAACTAAAGATATTATAAAAGATTGATGGTATCAATGCAACCCCAGTGCAGAAGATACATGCCTCATGTAAACGAGGTAAATAACTTGACCTCAACATAAGGGTTTGGGAAAAGGGAAAGAATTTGGAGTCATAAAGAGCAGTCCAGATAGGGACATTTGAATCAGCTATTTCAGATGAACACAGAAAGTAAACCGTATTCCAGAACAAACAGACCGTCAGATATTGAGTTTCTCAGACAATGAATAAACCTTGGCACGTAATTCGTCTGTGCTGGCATGAATCCTTTCTAGATATTTTTGAGAGAATCAGACCAGAGAAGACGGGCTACACTCAATCTACAAAGAATTAGAAACACACCTGGTGGTTGCATTTCGAAAATGATCACGACAATGATCACATTTGTAGAAGTCGTCAACAAATGCTTCTATTGCTAACTTAGCAAAGGTAGCCTCAAATTCTTGTACTCGAACTGTCAATGAATGAAGCAATAGCCACAATCCGCAGCTGCAAAGGGAAAAGTTAGATAAGTGAGAGGGCAGCCAACGAAGAGCCTTGAGATGAGCTTTGTGCTTGAAATGACAGGTAACCGCCAGAAACTGTTTCGTTCTTACTACGATACTCTGTCCTGCTGTTTGATGAGTCCTGCTGTTACATTAACAATAAATAGCCGTAAGATCTACAAGAGCATGACATGTGAGACAAGGGTAGTACCACTCTTGGCTAATTTTTGCAGATGTTTTGTAATTATTAGAACAACGCTAGCAGTACGGTGTTGAGAACCCACTAAACCTCAAGTAGAAAGTCGTTCACCTGTAACCGCGACCTTTTCCATCGCAAGCTTTCTGGAGAAACCATTTCATGAGAATTGATGCTCATATTTCTTGACTAGTTGATCTCGATAATTAAGGATAGCGGAACATTAGAGTATGAGACGCATTAAGGCAGAGGAACACACAAATGACAACCGATGTGTTTCTGGATGTCAAAATATGAACAAAATGAAGAAAGTGTAAGGAAAAACCCAGAAGCGACGAGGTATGCCTGGACCGCACAACTGTTGCTTCCTCAATGCATTTGTAGGTTGAAACTGGCTGGCAGGCCACCATTTCGTTGAATCCTGCAGCAATTTTGCACTCCCAATCCGACACCTGATATTGCATCCTTCGACCGTAAGTTTCCTTGCTTAAACAGAGTTGTGCAATGCGGATAACCTAACTCTTCAGTAGCTAAAATTCCCAAAAATAGAATCAACAATAGCAACTTCGAATCCAAGCATGTGGTGGTTAAATTGATCATTGAAACACTCCAACGTCTGCTTTCTACTCATACTGAATACTGATGGTACCCACACACATTCTGAGAGGACGACACAGTAGTAAGAACAGCACCTGTGTGAGGGATGATGCATTTCCAAGAGATGCAAAAAATCCAGAAAAGAGGAGTGACTGGATGACCGTAGCATCTGCAGGAGTCATGCAAAGAGTGCCAAGGGAACTTAGATAAACAAGGACCATCTTATGCATGCTGTACTCGAATGAGCCGCCAAGCAGAATATCTTATGCCAACATGCAACCATAGACCTTAAAGCCAAATTACTAAACCAACCAGAAAGATTGAATACATAACATTATGGAAATAAACGAAAAACGTAAAGCGTCTTCCTACGAGGAGTTCGTGGCTTACCTTCTCATCCAACATGTATGAAAAAGCATACGCGGTGGCTTCTTCAACATCATGCAGCATTCCAGGAATCTTTTCATGAACACATGGCATTTACAAACTCACATCAAGTTCTGAACATAAGCAATAACTGCGAAATCGTAATCCAAACGTAAATAGATAATACACTATCCGTTCACTTGGTGAAAACTTTACGACTCTTTCGGCGACAATGACAACTCCTGTATGGTAAACTGTCCAAAGATCTAAACAATCCTGCCTAGACATCATAATGTAAGCAAACTACTTTGATGATTCTCATGGCTATGTGGTAGTTTTGTGGCTGGACCTCCCAAATGCCAAGCTCCTCCGAGAACTCCTGCTTTGATATTTCAGTTTCGGTGTTTGGAGTTCCCGGTCTTACGTCATTCAGTGAGTACTTTCTATTTCCAAAAGACGACATGATTAGAGGATGGAATGAAATTTCTTAAAATGGATACAGAAAGGTAGTTGAAATAGGGAAAGCAGTACAAAAACACAGATTAAAAGCACAACTTCAACACTATAATTTAAGGCTAAGCTTATCATGCACAAAAAGGTATGCTTGATAAAGATGCAAACTTAACTTATCTTACATCTCATATTGTATAACCTCATCCGAATGATAATCGATCGACAAATGTTCATACAAGGTCGACGCACTTGAGGTAACTGAAAGACCAAAAAAAAAAAAAAACAAACAAACAAACAAAACAAAAGTAGACGCTCACTTCTTAATGCGCGTGTTTATCCATTCAAGTAAACTTTCAGCACTGCTAACAGTCGCTCCAGCAACAGATTCCAGTCCTAACGTTTGCTTAAAACCCCCATCGCCGGACGCAAAGACTCTAGGAGGTCCCCAATATAATGTCGGATACGATTGAATATCAAAGCGCTCGCAGAGGCCCTTGTTAGACTGCTCCAATTGATGTAAGGAAATTACAATAATTCAACAGATGTTAACAGCAATGACAGGACTAAATCTTGTGATCAGTCATGCACAAAAGCCAATCATGATGTGGGAGGATCACATACTAACTTGAAAGATTGAAGGAATTGTTAGGATAAGGCTAATTACACACAACTAGGTGATCCATAATTGACATATATGCTTCATCTGCTGAAAATGCAGCAACTATTGTTCCATCATTAACACATACAGTGACTTTCACAAAATATTGAAAAATGGAAGTCGGCAAAATATCACCTCTAGAGCGCAGTTGACCATGGTGACGTACACCTCACCCTCATGAATTCCAGTCGGATCATTAAATAAGCATGCCACACGCTCGTAATGTGGCTGCACTATCACAAATTAGGCTTAGAAACAGCAGTTTGCCCAGTACTCTGTGAATAGACATTTGTTCCGCTAAAACCATTCTCTTCAAAGAAACTTGCAATTTTGATGTTCGTTAAACCTAGTTTTAATTACGTTGCACCTTGCGCACTAATATACTGACACATCCTGAAAATCTTGTGAAGAGCCGTGACAGAATGACATCAAATGCTTTTGAGAAATTTCAGCAAGGAAGTCTACCTTGAACTGCTGGCACTCCGGTAACCTACACAGACATGATTTCAAAACGCTTTTAGGCTGTAATGACAACCAACACTATTTAACCCCCTCAGTAGAACTCCAATCCAGACAATAACTCGTCAGATAATGCCAGGCATTGAGTGGGATACATGAGCCATCCCATACCTTTGCAACAATGCACAAAAGAACACAAGATTGAGTAAGCTTTCCAATGCTGACTTGGTACTACGTGGACAAATCCTCGGGACACCAAGCACACCACATTAAAGCGTCGAATTCATATGCAAGTATTAACTGTGTCACGGAAGGTGTACTCTCATGTATACATGTGCTTTAGAATAAAGTGTGAGGGTTCAGGAAACCCAGTCTACAGATCGAAGAGTAAGCTTACCAAGACGCGAAAAACTCCACGAGTGCATATGGAGTATTCGTCTGCGCCAGACTCGGGTGGAATATCTTGTCATAAAGCTCAACAGCACAATCGTCTTCGTTACCCAGCACGCTTCCAACGCCACCCACTAACAGCAGAGCTGCTACCCACATGCTAGCCCAGTTCCTCTCACCCGCCATCTTCCTCCCCCTCACTCGTTTTTTTTCTTATGACCCCAGTACACAAAAAATCAGAGAGCTTTCGTAACAACGTTCGAAACCACACCAACATTAAAATCAACCACAGGAGCTCTCTACCAAGAATGTGAATCTGTTGCGCAAACCCTTCCGAGCTAAAAAAAAACCTCGCTCAGCAAGAATGCGACCCATTGCACCATTCATTTGAGCCTCACACTCGGAAAATGTAATACCAGGGATCCAGATCCACGCCCCCATCAACCCAATCACGTACGAATAACGATCGATTTTGTACATCACCACGACCTCGTCACCATCTCCACCCAAATTTGTAACGATTTCTCAGCAACAACTGAAGCAACGGAATCTTGGGCAAAACCACGCATCACGCTACGACAACATTGCTGCAACATGAATCCAGCAACCGGAGCTTGATTCGGCACCGAACCCAGTTATCCAATCACTTGCACAAGTTCTACTTGCACCGATTTCTCCAACCCAACGCCATCGTTCACTTCACCGAAACTCACAAACACACACATCGCCATTGATTGTATGGATTAGCAAAAAAGCAATGCCAGTTGGGTTCAGTTTGCATTATTAAAATGGGATGCTGTTGACGCTTTCTATTCAGTGGTACAAAGATTTTCTGGTGCATGTTTGACATAAATGGTATGATTCTACGGAATGATTTCTGTTCTGTCTTGATTACAAACAAAAACTAATGTCATCTTTGTATTTATCCCTATATGTATATACATACATACATATATATATATATAGATACTTGTGTATATTCTCCAAGTCATCGGCACATAAAATGTGCAAAGTAATCGGACAAACAATTCATCAGACAAGTTTTTAATCAAGTTTGTTGTATTGTCCTGTGCCGACAGTTGCGTGGATTTATAGTTTGAATTATGTGGATTTGCAGAGCATGCAGAAAATTATATATATATTAAAAAAAATAAAAGAAAATTGGATAAGTTGTTACGGCAGGAGATGAATAATTGTGACTTTTATCCAATGAAATGTACTATGTTTGTATATAATTTCCTATTTTTAAGCTACAATAAATAATAGTTTGTATAAATAATTATCAAAAATGTAAAAAGTGAAGAGTTAAGTTTAAATTTATATCAAATATTTTTTTCTTATTAATAACTTTAGATCATAGTAATCATTTTAATAATTAGATTAATATGCTCAATTTTTTTTTTTTAAGAAATACGAATAAGCTAGCAAGCATTTGAGAAGTAGGTTTAACTTGGTTAAGAAGTAACTTGCCATGTCAACACACTCACTAATATTAGTTGCTTTAGAGTTTGCTCTCCATTCTTGGAGAGCTGCCAATAACTTGGTTGACTTGCCATATTGCATAATAATGAATGACCTTGGCAATCAACCTCCAAAGATTGTCTTTTCATCTTTGCTCAAAAACAATTAATAAGTTGGGATACCATGTTGCTTTGTTGATTTCTTTTTGTCAAGGTTTCAATATAAGCCACTACAATCATAGCCAATGTTGACATGGCCACTGATGTTATCAAAATGTTGGACAATAAAAGAAAACTTATTCTTGAGGCTAAAGCCGAGAAGATAGCTAACAAAGCTTTTCAATCCAAGAGTGATGTGTTGTCATTGAGCTGCATAGAGATGAGATGTATTGCATGCTTATAAATTTAGACAAAGAAGCAATATTGGAAGAGTGGCACAAATAGTAAGGTAAGTTGAGAGAGAATTCATGTTGCAAATGTCATAGCACACTTGCTCTTGGTCAATCGCATTACCCATGCACTTATAGTAGTAACTTGCAAATTGGGGCTCTCATGGCTCATAGGTTTGGTATGACCAATAGACACAAAGCCAAAAACATAATGACCTTGGTATGTACATGTATTTGTTTTATTTGGATATAATTTTGTATTTTATATTTTTAATAAAATCATATCTACATAAAAGAAAGTATTCTTTTTTATAATAGCCTTGTATCTATCATTTGATATTTGATCCATTAAAAGCATAGTTGTTGACACCTTTAAATTACTAAATGTAGATTTTATAATCCATAAAAATATCTAAATTAGTTTTATAATATTAATATATTATAGAATTAATTTATCAATATAAATACAAAACAAAAACATAATACAAAATTAAATAATAACATCTAACAACATACACTTGTATATAAACGTTATTTTTGTAATTATGATTTGTAAAATTTTAGTAAAAAAATAAAAAAAATCAAAGAATCTAACATTTTTAGACTTTATTATAACCAATTAAAAAATATATAAAAAATAATAAAATCTTTTAATAATGATACTAATGCTATTATTAGAATTTCATTTATTTATTAGATAAATAAAGATTTTGATAAAATTATAATAATTGTGCAACTTGTACTAAATATTCACTTTATATATTCTATATTTTATTATATTTTTATTCTATCATAAAAAAATTATTTATAGATATTTTTAAAAAACTAAAAGAATTATATTAATTTTATATGAAATTTTCCAACGTCAAAAAAGCATCTTCACCAATGATTTCTAATATTTATTCTTGCAAGCATGATAAAACATCATAAGTGTCCATCCTACAATTATAAAATAATGCCAACATTAATTTTGAAAAAATATTTAATATATAATTAAATTGTATTTCATATTTTAAAAGATAAATGTCATTAGTTCTTAAAACTTACATCGAAAAATATATTATAAGATTTACATAAATTATTTTTCTTTGACATCTACCAAAAAATTCTCAAATTTATTTTTTACTATCCACAATGCTCATTATTTTCTTAATTTTCAATGTAAAGTGCAAACTATTATAGAGAAGTTTTAGCTTTTTAAGTTTATAATTTAACTTAAAACATATAAAGACCTAGTTTTTTTTTTTTTTTTATCATCCTTGCTACTTATATAAAAGCTTAGTTTATTTTTGTTAACCTTGTCACTTAGACAGTAAAAAAAACATAACTTATGTAGCAACTATCAATTTAGAATTCCAACTTAATAGTAGTTATAAATTTAAGACAAATTAAGTAATTTTCATCGGATTCATTAAGTTTTTTTTATTTAATAAAGTTATCATTCTACATAATGTGTTTAATATTTAAGTATTAAATATTGAATAAACTATAAAATATTTATTATTAAAAAAATTAAAATTTTATAAAGAATGAATATTTTAGAATATTTTAATACTAAAAAAATCTAACATTTGCCTCAGATATTTATAAGACATTATTGTATAAACAATAATATCTTCTCTATGTACAATAGACATAATTAAAATAATATATTTTAAAAATAAAACTTAGTAATACATTGATTTTAAGAATATTTTTAAATTATTTTTAAAGTTTTATTATTAAATTTATTAATAATTTTATTTCTTCCTTATATTTATTTATAATTCATCAAATCATTGTATCTTTCATATTTTTCATTTTTTCATTTCAAACATCTTTAAATCTTCTTAAACAAAGAATTAATGCAAAATTACACACTAATTACTATATTTACTAGAACATTTTTTCTTACATCTTAACTGATTTAGAATCGAATCACAATTATGTCACTGTAAATTATGATTTAGGCTATAGCTTTGGTCATAATTGAAACCATATTTTATTTTTAAAAAAAATATAAAATGTTAAATTTCACATTAATTAAATGCTACATGAATCAATTATGTTTCTATTCATCGACTATATCCAAGTACTTAGGTCTATTAATTTGTCACCCCATTCCACTTTTGCTTGTGATAATCGTCATGTTTACATCACAACCAATATTAACACTTATGCATGTATCTCTTAACTTACAAATCACATGGTTACCAAAAAATAAATAGAACCAAAACTAAAATAAAGTAATCATTCACACATGGAGAGCAACAACCCAACTAACAATAACTTGAAATGCACTCAACGTGCTTATAAAATGACCAAAATGACCAACACTAACAGACAAGAATGACCCTCTTTTCTATTGTTTTGCTGCAATGAATTCCAAATGCTCCATTTTGCTTTCTACCCAGTGACCCAGTTGAATCAATTGAACCATTAGTTTCCTCATCTTTCGGTGGCGCGCACTCATTTTTGGTTCACACATTCTACATGGAATGAGTTGAAGCCACCTAGAATGTGTCTCTCCCTCTTTTATTTGCTTCTGTATTTGGCCAACAACCCCGTGTGCTTCATCGATGTAAGACTCAACATGCATCACTTCAAATCCACTACAAATCTAAGGCCATGTTGCAAAATTTGTATGCACAGCATAACAAAATGTTTTTGAGCCTTGCAGTGTCTGTGGACTCCTCTTCTTCGCATGTGGATCTGCTCCAAACACTCTGCCACATTCTACACAACCTTTATTTGTGGGATGTATGAACATCTCAGTGAACGGTCGGAGAGTTGTTCTCTTCGACAAGCATCAGACACAAAATCAATCAACGTTTTAGTGGATGTTTCAGTGAAGCTGTGTGCCCTCGTCGACCCCATGCACTGAATTCCCGTTTCATTATACAGCTTCCGAACCACGGACTGATGATTTGTACAGAATAAGTTGTGCAGCAGGATCTCTGGTTTCGAAGGTAGGCGACTGCTGGAGATCGAAGGAAGTGCTGGCGTTCGCAGGTTCTGCAACGCAGGAAAGCATCTGCATCGGTGGCGGTTTTCTTCGAGTTAGGACAGAGGGTGCTTCAATTTCTTGTTCTCCTCAATGACCTTGCTGTTCTAAGAATTCTGTCAAGCTTCTGCTGCAACCTGCTGCTTGGACATAGCAATCAGAGAACTCAGAAGTTTTTCCTGTCCAGATGAACTTGCAAGGATATCCATGTTATAGTGTGTGCTTAAGTGAAGAGAATCAACTTCCTCTATCAAAGCAGCAACTGCAAAAACAAAGTACCTGGGTTTATCAGCAAAACGTATCCTGGAGATTTCCAGGGAGAACCTCCAGTTGTGGTACTCGCTCCTACTACACAAAATGAACTTCAGTCTGAGACTGGTTCCTCCTTCCTCCTCCTTTCTAACTTCCTCGTAGTTGGGCTTGAAACCACCAAAATAAACAATTGGAAATGAACAGAAGCTGAAACTCTAAATGTTACCGGCTGATAAGCATCACATACAGATGTGATGGTTTTTCTGGAACACGTACTTCAGGAGAACTAGCCTGCTAGGTCCCCACTTCAGTGCATTTGTGCCTTCTCCTACACAGCATTTCTGAGTTCGATGTTCCGGTGAACAAGATGTGCATATGTTCAATGTAAGAAATATGACAAGGAGAGGAGAAGTTTGGAACGTCTGCAACTTGAGCACGATTGGAGTATTTGCCAGCACACTTCTGCTTCGCTTGCTCCTTCCAATCTAAATTGTCCCTCTCCTCCCCCCAGGACCTAATTGTTGTCGACAATGCACGTGAAATGCTTTGCACAAGCAATATCTACTGGTCTCTGCGAAAAGGAACCAGCTGCACTTTCTCATCGATATTTTTCATTCAAAAGCGGTTAGGAAGGCACTCATTAATTTCTCTTCTGTAATAGTAAGTCTGAGCTAAACTGGCAACAACCAATCCTGCTCAGAAGAGTGCCAGCATCTTGGGCAAGTCATAAATATTTCTATGATTAGTCCCTTCCAGGCTCTCGTACTCGGTAACTCTAACAGGATGCATGCATTGGACATGTGAGTGAATCTTCGCGATGCCTTGACCTACTTGACCACACTGATATGGAACACTCTCATGTTCAGCGTCGAAGCTGATACTAACGAAAAGAAGCGCAGAGATATCCACGATTACTCAAGATTGCCCACAACATGAATACCACCTGATAGCGATTTGTAAAGAAGCAAGAAAATCAATCAAGAACAATTACAAAATCGACGCAATGGGAAAAAGTTTGCTTCCAATAACCCAAACAATCTGTTCATTTACAACCAAAGAGGTGACGTTATAAACGAAGAGGCCTAAATACCGATGGATGTACAAGTTTCATAAGGCTAGAACCACTTCAATTGAGAGAATTCATGGTATGTTACAAAAGAACTCGTCTGATTATGGGCTCATCTGTGTGGCAGCTTTCAGCTGTGCAATAGTCTCCGTTAATTCCTTCACTTTCATTTGCAGGGATTTCACATACTCCACGGTTTCGTCAAGCATGTCTGATGTGTTGGTCGTCTTCTCCATGTTCGGGACAAGGTCTTGAAGTTTCTTCATGCGCTCACTAATTCGTGTCCGACGCACACGTTCGGCAATGCTTCTGGGGTGGGTAGCGCATCCACGTTTCGCACGAGCTCGCATCTGAACGTACTGGTCGTCAGAGTTTTGATTTGCCGGCCCATCTGTAGGTGTTGGTAAGCTCATGTGACGGATAAGACCGTTGGACTGACTGTTCAATCGAAAGGATTTGGAATTCTCCGCAGACCCGCTAGATGTTTCGCTCTCTCCTGGGAATCTCCTTGGTCTCTTCCCGCCTGAAGTGCCAGGGCTTGCCGGCCAAGTAAGAGCATCTCTAGCAAATCCATCGTCTTGTAAGTACGCCTTGAGGCCATTGACAAGGCTATTGTCCTCTGACGTTCCGGAGAGGCTCTCCTCTGAATTATGCTCCTCAATTGCATCTTGTCGTGGAACGTTCTGTTGGGCCAATGCAGGAACCGGTAAACTCTTCTGGCGCACCAAACCAGCACTCTTTGAGACAGGAAAAATACTCGAATAAGTTTCTGTACACATCCCCACACATCGACCTCATGAGCCAAACCGCAACCAGCTTCAGAGTGTGAAGCCTTGTCAAAACCCTCCCGAGAGCTATAAGACTCAATCTACCTGAAATGCAAATCATTTCCACACAATACAATCATCTACACCGTCAAGAAGGATACTCTAAATATCGTCTATAGGCACCTAGAAATGTCAGGAAAGCTCGCAAGGATCTAAAATCAGATTCACTCTGAAATAGGCCAATACCATGACACCACATAAAAAGATATAATTTGCCGTGTCCCATAAACAAAAGGGTATTCTTGGACATCAAACTGCATCGGACGCACTAGAATAAGATGGAGAGAAGAAACAAGTTTAAACCAATAAACTAAATTTAAATCAGTGCGACACAAGAAAGTGAGAACAAACCATTCTCAGGTTTGCCAAGGGCGGACATGGCAGCTCTCCGACTGAAATCACTGTCGGGGGATAGGAACTGCTCAAAGTCGTTCATGCTGTTACCACTACTAGGACGCTCCACGTCCATCTGCTCGGTGATGGGAGCAAGTCCACCCTCAGAGAACATGCCGCTCATGTTGGAGTTTCCAATAGGCGGGAGTTGCGTGAATGCATCCTCCGAGAGGGCTTGGAGGAATGTACTTGGAGCAGAATGGTAGCGTTGGAGACCACCGTTAGGGGGGGCAGAGCTGATCATTGGCATGAAGCTCTCGAAACCTGCACCAAACGAGGAGTTTGATGCGTGCATTTCGAGGACCTCGCCCTTCGCATCTAACATCCACTTCTCGTCCCCCGCCATTGAGGGCCATCTCTGGGATGACGGGTTTCCCCTGCTTGGATGCTGTCGGTTGTTATGCAAAGTGTTTCCTAACGCTGTCTGCGACATGCTTGACGTTCGCACAAGGCCACCGCCTTGCTGAAAACTTGAAGGTGGCGCGGCATGGCTGGAGAAAGACGCAAACATGTCAGGGCTCGTCACAGGAGCCATAACTCCTGCAAGCGAGCCTTGAGACAAGCTTGCATGGCTGCTCTGAAATATGGCTGAAATCTCTTCATTCACGCTCCCCATCCCTGTATAACGCATTGAATTTAATCGAATACTAAAGCGCACATACAATCGAGAATCAAACGGGCTGAAAACATTGATTGCAAATGCATAATTCATCGAGCTTGCATCTTCAACTTGAAAATCACGTGACTGATACCGAACGGTTAACACTCCAGTATATGCAGTAGCAACGAAGAGACCACCTCCACAGATACATCATAGGAATGGTTAATGTGCTGAGACAGAATACGATAGTAAGGGAATCGACCTTCGAATGTGAGGACGGGTACCTGATTACTTCGGATTACTCTAAGGCTGAGAGCCAGAAACCCGTACACCATCCTCTCACATCCTCTTCTGAAGTGACACTTCCTCCTTTAAGCACTTGACATTATATCGCATTCTCGAACACGAACCAAATATATCGTATCTCTTACTGCATGCTCACAAGTGCAAAATATTTGTAAGATTGCTAATTCACATGCTTAACGAGAGCGAATACACCAAATCATGAAACAGTACATCGAAGAAGAGGTAGGGACAAGAAATTAAAATCACTACTTTTAAAATTAAAATCCACAATTCAAATGCACCCCTGCAGACTCAAGGAGAAGAGAAGTTTCTTTAGTGTAAATTCTATATTAAATGAGAAGTCCATGCGTAAAATAAAGAATGTTTGGAAAGAAATCCTGGCCTAGAAGCTTGAGATAATTTGGAACCCATACATGCCGGAATCCACCACTAACTGGAGAAAAACACGGATTGTAGTTACGCTGCAGTGCTCAGAGAACCATCTATAGCAGCATCGTAGGCAAGCAACGAAGCCTGTGACATACTATCGTTCCTGTGAGGATGTCTGCTGGAAATCAAGCTGTGACTTTAACCGTGGCAACACTAAATTTACTACATGACTTTGAAAGGGTCTCCGAATACAGAATTCAGCAATAGTCTTCGAAGTTGGCACTGAAAGAAAAGGAGAGTTCTGTCGCATTCTGATCTACAATCCTCGAGAGGAGGCCAAGATTACAGTCGAATCGTACTCATTTAAGAGGCTGGTGAATACCAGATGAATGAAGCCCCAGAAGACTACAAGCGAGCTACTGCCCTAAGATACTCACAAAACCCTCCCCTCCCTTATGTATTCCACGGCTTTCGCTACACATAAGAAACAAAACGGATTACTTCGCAAAACATCAAAACAGACCAAAAAAAAAAAAAAAAAAAAACACACATCACCACATCCGAGCCGCTGGACTTCACAACCTCCTGGAAACCTCAACTACGACTTCTCCTCCCGTTCAATCTAGTTACAGATACCAACGCCCGCACATCGACAGTGAGTTCTGCAGTTTTGCGTCCGCCTTGAAGCAGCGAAGGCGCAGTTATGTTTCAACTACCGAGGGTCCTTCCATTTCCTATCTAAAAGCCAGAAATCAAGCCCACTTATATTCTGCAGCTGCCCGGAACAAACGTCCAACCAAGCCTCCTCGACTTCCAACTTAGTGAGTTATTTCTCCCAAGCCCTGACTGAGGCCAAGCTCTCCCTCTTTCTCTTTCGCTTTCTCTCTCTCTTTATCTCTCTCTCTTCTCTGGTTCAAAAAACCTACGCAGCTGATTGTCAGAATTCCGACTCCGTGCGCTGAAGAAGTAAACAAGCCAGACAGACAGAAAAACAGGCAGGCAGGCACCTGAAGAGGAGGGAGGGGAGGGTGGGGGGGGGGGGGTGTGCTGGAGCTAGCCTTGCAAACCTCTTGCTCGCTCTCTCACTCTCCGTCTCTATGTTAACTTTTCCTTTTGCCTTTTTCTTTCCCTCCGATACATGCGCGTTGCTGCAGGAACAATGGAAGACCGAGAATGAGGAGCCAGCTTGAGAGCACGGAATCCCGCAGCAGACAGAGTGGACACTAGATAGTCCGGAGGACAGTTCCGTATCCGAAACGGACGACCTGTCCTCCTTCATAATTTGCCTTCCTTCCTTCCTCTCCCTCCTAACCCAACCCTGCCCTGCCCTGCCCTGCCCTGCCCCTCGGTTTTCGTGCGGCCCAGGGGGGTGGGTGGAAGAGTGGGAGTCCCTTTTGTTATTTCGCCTTCCCGCAAAGTCACGGGTACCACCTCGGCAGATTGTGGACAAATTTTACGATATGTGCCCCCGCGGGTCCCATCCGGCCCGCTGCCTTTAATCGGGGTGGACCCCTCCTCTCCCCTCCCTTCTGAGTCCCCCTTTTTCTCCTTTTTCCCTTTCCTAGGTTTAAATCTCTCCCTCTAGTTCTCCTTTACATTCTGGATAATGTCCTCCCATTCTCTACAAAATCCTATCATTCATTATAAGATTTTTGTGACGCGATGTTATAGAATCGGATCTCTTGCACCATATGAAATTATTTCAAAAGATACTTTTTGACACTTTAAAGTATTTTTTGCTTTGTGAGAATAAAGGTAGTTTTTTCGTTTTTTATTTGAATGTTCTACATCGGTATTTTCTTTTGTCTGTGGGTGGTACTTGTGATATAAAAATGTAACTCGATAAAGGTAAGTTTGTGTAAAACTGAAATCGCGTTACGGATGTAATAATATTTTAATCGCTTAATAACTTTCCAATAGTAGACAGAAATAATTCAAAAAAAATCAACCATGCAGGAAATATATATATATATATATATAGAGAGAGAGAGAGAGAGAGAGAGAGAGAATAGGATCAGTAATTGCAAATATTTTCGGAAGTAATAACAATTGACCTCGGACGGGTAATCAAACTGAATCCAGAAGATAATGAATGATGAAGAAGTGCTAACACCTGCACAAACAACAAATCCAAAAAAACGTCATCACCATGAAGAAAAGTCCAATTAAATCATCAATATATAATTCCCAATCAGAGGCTCCATTATTACAAACTCATGATTTTACAGAGGGGGGAGGCATTCAAGGGTCTTGGGCGGATGAATGAAGAAATGAGCGGACGAATGAATTCAAGCTGGCCAAGCCATTCATGCCTCATGCAGCCACAGTCATGGGAGCAGTGACTATCCCAAGTGCAATGCCGTGGACCGGTCATGCTGTCATGCATCGTGTCAACGACTCTGACTTGTGACACCCCGAGCATGTTCCGGAAACCCCCTATCACCGTGGTGCTCCCCCTCAGGGTCACAGGATTACCGGGTAAGGACATCGTCTTTTTGTCGTTTCTGAAATTAGCTTCTAGACGGGTACTCTTTTTCCACTGTGAATTGTGTGACTTATTTACAGTGTGACGTCGGTATGAGATTAAAATAAAATAAAATAAAGTCCCCAAATCCGCAACGTCAAAGTGCCGAACAAGTGGGTTACTACTGTCTCACCACTTTCTTCTGCAACATCTCTTCTGCAGCATCTCTTCTGCTTATGGGTTCTCAGAGCTTGTTGAGCTGGATACGAGGGACTAGACAGATATCACACCTCAGTGATAAGATACGAAAGTAAGGAAAAGATGGTTTCACTATGTTGTGGCTACAGTGAGATAAAGTACTTTGTCTTATTGGACTAGTAAAATCTAGATGCATGAGGAGTTGATGGCAATGCGATTCGGAGTTGTTCTGTTCGATTTGATTGAAGGTTTCGTCGCTACTTGTCCAAAATGAGTACAGGACAAACGTGCTAGTGACCAGACGAGATTGGATCTATTTTTGAAGTTCACCTGAGTATGCATCATCTGAAAACGAGGATGTTCGGGGCTTGCCAGTATGACCTCTGTATGGTTCACATACACCTATCCTAATTATGGAGAATTCTTTTAGTGAAAGTATGTCATAAAATCAAAAAGGAGCAGAACACACGGCGGAGCGATTTGGGGGCATGAGCGCACTATCGTAAGGTGGGTCTGCTGCTGGTACTACCGTTGCTAGTGAGCTGGTGACTCTGCGTGTAAATCCATACTTGGGTAGCTCCTCAACCAGATTCAGGAGCCTGTCAAATCCTGACGACGGTTCTGCATCTCACCGACTGGCTCCAGACATGCTTAGTTATCTTCACATCCAGCGAAGCTCATGGCAATGCGTTCCATAGCGTGACCTGAACAACGACGCAAGCAACTCTGTCTCACCGATGACTTTCCCCTCGCCGTTGACACTGCTGAACTGATTTCATTGCCCGGATTGGCAGAGACTTAAGACTAGACATGAAATGCACGTGCAAGTCCAGGAGATGCCTTGATAGTAGAGATCTTAGGCCGAGGCTTGCGGCGGAGTTCAAATTACAGCGCGGCATATGGAACTGGTGGACAGTAGACCCCATTCTAAGGGCAGTAATAAGACGATGGTCGCTAGGGAGGAGTAATATGCTGATATTGTCGACATCAACCACTCCGACTGGCACCACTTAAGCCGTGCCCTGACAATCCTGAATGCCGTATCATAAGGATGTTCAATTTTAGCGGACTCATTTGGTCAGTCGTCAGTACCATGCTAAAAGTGATTGCGATTTTTAATCATACACACAGATCTATTTTATTAATGCAGTCTCTGATAAGAGTCTTTTAATAATTAAAGGAATTGACATGCATCCGTAAAGGTAGACTGCTGTTATGTGCCTACACGAACGTTTCTTAGTTGGTTTTTCAATCTAACATTCATGTTTTAGAGCACTGTTTTTCTTTCTTTTTTTATTCTCTGCTCTCCTCTTCGCCACTTCCAGAGCAACCTTTGTGATGGACGATGCTGAATATTCCACAAGACCAGAACTTGAAGTGAGTCTGTTAAACTGCGAATCTAACTCGGAATAGCCCCATGTAGCCACAGATGTACCACAGATCACTCACAAAGACAGTTCCAAGTTTCCAATGAACAGTCCTCACCCACCTGGGATCTACCTGCACATACTCTACATCATCTGCGAAACATGAATCCACGATGTCATAATCGGTGGGTTGGTTGAACAATACTCCTGCATCAATCAATCCATCAATCAATCAATAATTTCTCCACGAAGCTCTTCTCACAACCAATATCATCCAATCAATCTCTCAACCCAGCTTTCATGCGGTCAGGAAGTAAAGGTACCGAAAGCTTTGAAAGCTTATAAAGCACATGAATCCTTGCTCCTGTCTACTTACAAAGTGCAGCGGCCTGTGAAAGGACATCGTCATCTTCGTTATGCTCCTGCCTGCCTGCCTGCCTGCCTGCCTGCCTCACTGACCCAGTGGGTGATATCAACCCTCAAATGCATGAACTATCTCTTGCTCCCCCTTCCAGCTTGAACTTTCTCACAATTGTATGTCATCTTTTCTTTCCCCTTTTTTTTTTCATTTGTTTATGTTTTTGCAGCACTGAAGTTACCCATGAAGGTAATCAAAAGTGGCTGGTTTCCACTCCATGTTGTGGGCCTGGTGGCAGAAATTGTGGGGGGTGGTGGTCTATCTACCATCGCTCCAGTACAAACTGCAAGGATACCTGCACAGACTTTAACCCGCCAAGTATGGGTATCCACAACCTTTTCCCAGCCTACCCCTCTCATACCCAGACATTCTGGACAAAACTGTCTTGTAAGAATCCGAGAAATAAAAATACTTCACATGTACTTCCTTCGTGGTACAGGATCAGAGATCATGGAGATCAGGCTCCAGGCTTTTTAGAAAAAACAAAACAAAACAAAACAGTATAAAATATTTACACTCATTCAGAGACTGAAGATGCCACCCATGTACGCCAGGTGGGTGCCTTGCCACCGAGCACTTGGTTGAGGTGCTTCATGATTTGTCACGCCGAGACGTTGCCACCTGGAATTTAAGTTTGAAGTTGTTTTAAATATCTGTATTAGGTTGTCTCTGAAAATGAGAATGAAAAATGACAAGGAAAACTAATAATAATAATAAAAAAATAATCTATCTGTTGTTGTGTGAATGTTTGTTTGATTTTCACAGACGCACACACACTCACATGTGCATCCCCAAACTTAGTAAAAGTATCCGCTTTTCAAAGAATCTAGTTGGACTTGGACAATTTTACAGGTTTAATACTGTACCTGAAGGACTGAAAATACAAAAAGCTATTGATACATGTCTGAGACTCTTGAAACAAATGGAATATCATTGCATGACTTTCGAAAAATGCATCTTTCTCTGGAAATTTATACGAGCATTTATTTTTTTATTTTTTTATCAATTCATGCATTGAGTTGTGTTGAAGCTTCAACACAACTCAGTTTATATAATAACTGCTCAGGTAGCGTTTTCTTTTAAAGTGTCTTACTATTAAAATTGTTTCGCTAGCTTAAATATATTCAAACATACAGTAGACAACTCTTTGAAAAAATTCATTAGTTCTGTTCAAACATAATAGAAAATCAAGACCTTGATCACAAAGTTTAAAGGTGCGCTAATTCAATATTCAAGCTCAATAAAAAAATTTATTGAGTCAAATCCATGTTATGATGTTTCTTACTACAGAACATGGATTTGATGGAGTGTTATTCTCGGCCCAACATATTTTTTTCTTTAGTTGTGTATTTTTCTTTGATTTTCAAATTTATTCTGGGTATCAGCTCATCTAACTTATTCTGTCATTATTCTACGCAAACTTTAACAAAGAATTTCTCTCTCCATAAGAGTACTTAGGGGGTTGTTAATGTCACCAAAGTTTTTATTACCACCACAACTCACCACCCTCTCAACTTACATTCTTTTAGTTTTCTAGTTTTTTTAAAAAAATTCTAATCAAAATATTTGTTATTATTTCAAATATACATACAACTATACAACCATGATGAAACGGTTGTGGTGAAAGTAGCAGTAACAAAAATTCGACTAAATTTAGACTCAAATTTCGCAGAAATTGTGGTGACAGTTGCAACATATATATATATATATATATAAACACTGTACAAGGCAGAAACCACACCATTTCATCTCCATCACCACCACAACCATGCAGAAATGTGAAAAAATTCAACAAGACCTCGAAAACAAATACTAATAAAAAGGAGACATTTTCATATCCATTAATATCTCCCTTTGAATCCACCACCACAAATTGGTGATGCAACCCTCAGCGTCAAACTTGAAAGCTGCGAGTGTTTCAGATCTTAACTACAACCACAGAATATCTCCTCTTTCAACGTCACTAATGAAGTTGAGCGGGACATTGACAAAAAAGAAGAAAAGTTGATAACCCACAATCTTGCTACCAAACAACACACTATTTCAACCTCACTAGCTCCTTATGTGCTCAGTAAACGAAGACAAACTACAACACACACACACAAACATTCACACAAACCAAAACTCACACAGAGAAACACATGCTGAAACAGCAGCGTGGATTATCAGATGCAGTGCTTTAGCAGCAACAGCAGCAGCAGAAGAAGAAGAAGCAGAAGCAGCACAGAGAAGGGAAGGGAAGGAAAAAAATGGGGTTGGGCAGGGAGGGAGAGTGAAAGAGTGACTCTCGGAGACTGTGAAGAGGTACGAGTGGCAGGGAAAAGAAGTGCCGCGCCTCGACCACAACAAGCCAGCCATCTGGTTATTCTCACTCACTCACTCACTCACTCACTCACTGCCCCTTTTCTCTCCTTCATCTTCTTCTGCTTCTTCCGATTCCTTGCTAACTTTCGATACTTCTTCTGCTTGTACCACCCGTGCCATCCATCACCCCCGCGTGTCCTGCTCTTGCCCATTCCTGGTCTTGGCCGGCATCTGCTGCTCAGCTTTCTGCTGCATGCCCCCGAGTTCTCGCTCCCCACTTCGCATGCCTCACTCGTAGTCGTGTAGCTGCATCACGAAGCTGCAGCATCACCTTCCTCGGATCCTCATCTTATTTTGTTCGTATCTGGCTCGGTGGTAAGTCCCTAGCAGTGTTTAAATCTGCCGGTCTTGGTGCTAATCTGTGCGCCGCATCTCGTTCTTTCACCAGGATTTCTCGGAACTGTTGCTCTCTGTTGTCTGGTGACTTTGTGAATTGGGATTGCTTTTGTACTTCGGGATTTTCAGCTTAGAATTGGAGTTGCATCTTAGCTGGAATGCAGTGAGTAGTTGGGAATTCTCCATGTGGGTTTGCCGTCGTTGAGTTTGTTGTTTCCGAGGATGTGTTAAGAATGGATTCGTGTACATTAGATGCTGCTGGGTGTTCTCTCGTGCTCACTTAGATGCTTCTGGGTTTAGATTCTGCGAGGGTTTTTAAAGGAGCGCGACGCTTGCATGATCTGTTTGGTTTGTTTAGCTCGTTGTGCTGTGGCATCACCTCAATATCTGTACATTTTCTTGCCTTCTGTTTATTGTACTATGAATGTAAATCACTTGTCCTGGCAGGCTCTGATCCAGCTGTTCATTCACTCATATAATCTTTCGTCTCGAGGTGTGTCACTTGACATAGGTCTTTTTTTGACTTTAGCAAGTTGAAATTTTCCTTGGCAGTACAGTATGTCGGCAGGAATAAAGTTTGGAGTGAGTCTGAATTGTCTTACTGTTTGAATTGTTAGATGCTTTAGTGGTCGTTTGACTGTATTACCAAATTGGTCTGCTATGAATTGAAATTGAAGCGATTGGTAGTTTACATGTTGTGATGACTAAATGCTTATATACCTGAAAAATCTTATGCAACCCGTTCTCGTCTCGTGATCGTCTAATCGGAAAATAGAAATAAGTGGGTTAATTCAATGTGTTATCTGAGGTATATTGCGTGAGATTTACAAGCAATTCATGGCGCAATGCAGGTACGTAATCCTATGCAATGGCTAGCCTTAGTAGCAAGTCCGCGCTGGTGTCCAGACTTCTGCAGGTCAAGAAGGAAAGCGGGAAAACGTACACCGAGATCGCTAAATTGACCGGGTTGACGAACGCCTACGTTGCTCAGCTCTTCCGGCGACAAGCCCACTTGAAGCCAGAAACTGCCTCTGCCTTGAAAGCAGCTGTTCCTGCACTTTCAGATGACTTGCTCGCTGCGATGCAAGAGATCCCGATGCGCTCATTCGATCCCACCGTTGTGCAAGACCCTACCATCTACAGGTAAACCTTGCACTTCTAAACGCTTCTTATTTTGAAGTCTACTTGCGTTTTCTTGTTTTGTTTTGTTTTGTTTTTCTGCTTAAATAGCCAAAGCATTGTAGAAAAATAACTGTTTCTAATAAAATTGGCATTCTTATACCACAATGTGAATATATATATATATATATATAGATTCGTTTTTTTAAATGTTAGGTCTAGCTTATATTGGAAATGTTTTATCGCTTATTCAGCGCAGGGTTTTAATATGCGTCTTCTTTTTTTAGGCTGCACGAAGCGACTGTACATTACGGCGAAAGCATCAAGGATATCATCAATGAAGAGTTTGGTGACGGCATGTAAGTAAATCTCATCTTAAGAGCATAGTTCGAATGTTGGTTTCTATGTACATACAGTCAGAAGTTCACAAATGTAATGACGCTGTACTGCAACGTGTCTGGCTTGATGCTGTCACAGCCTGTAAAATTGCTGGAAACGGATAATCCCACTAATATATGTTTCAACTGGCGATCTGCAGTATGTCTGCCATTGGTTACTACTGCTCTGTAGAGAAGGTGAAAGGCAAAGAAGGCGAGGATAGAGTTGTTATCATTATGAACGGAAAGTTCTTGCCCCACGTTGAACAGGTAAATTGACAAAATTTCTAGAGTTTGAAGAACCTCGTGGACGCAACTTTTATTTAAATTTCGCATTGCAAGCTAATTTTAAACATTTCCATACGTATTCTAATGGTTTGTGAATCATATCAAGTCTTTTTCTTAAAATTTGGCAGCTGATCAGGAATCGATCTCTGACGAGTGTTTTTGGGGATGTCTGCAGAAAGCTGAGGGCAATGTTGCCACGTTGGCTATCTCTTCCTCATGAGAGATGTGCTCTTTTGTGTATGTTAATAGCTGTACACATTTTCGGGATTAGTAAACCAGGTGGTTATGCTAGTGTTCCTGCAATCATCACAGGGAAGAAGAGACTGAGGGTTTCAGTTATGCAGGGATCTGCTCCTCATCTTTGCACGTGAATCTTAATAAAATCTGTGAATAAAAGTATGCTGGCACAATGCGTTAGCTGGAATACATGCATGCGTAATGGTTGTCTGGTTGGTACTTGGTTCGTGTATTGTAGGGTCGGCCGTTTGTTGTAGGCGTACATTGATTCCGAAAAGTGGATATTTCGGTCAAAATATGTGTTCCATGTTTTCATTGTTAAATTGTATCTAGTTACTCCCGGTTTAGGCATCACGAATCAGATTGGCATGTACTGGCAAATTTATTCTTCACTAGAACTAATTAGCATTTTAAAGCTGACAAACGTGCGAGTCTCTTTAGTGTTTGTGTTATATCATCATACAGTAGTATGATGTGATAGTTTTCCCCGACAGCTTCGAGATCTTTTGATGAAGACATTTGATTTTTGAGATGCAATGCTCCTGACTAATGTGTTAATTTATGCAATTGGGCCTCATTGACTTTATGGTAGATTGATAGTCTTGCATCATTTGTACTAAGTTCAACAATTTACTTGAACAATTACAATTACTTTAAACCATATCTCTTCAAAGTTCCTATTTTTTTGTATGTACAATGTGCCATTTTGAAAAGATGTGAACTTGAAGTTTAGTTAATCCTTCTCTATGTACTAATATGGAAAAATTATATTTGAGTCCATGCTATCATATTAGAACACCCTATTTTGTGAAGGAAATTAATTGTGTACAATTGGTTTGTATGGATACTTGAATGTAGATAGATAAAGCAATCAAGCCAAATACTATATAATAGCAGACTTGTGTAACAACTTAGCAATGATATTGCAACTTAAGACTTTGAAATTGTAATTTTTCCATTGATTTCTATTGAAAAAAAAGAACTTTGAAGTCACCGAGACATAACACTAGTAAGGTTGTTCACAAAGAAAGTGTGGAGTAAGATATCTCTCACTTTCAACATATGTTATTTATAGGTGGTGGTTGTTGCTCTAATGGACAACTTCTATTCTTTGATGAATACATCCATCTAGCATTCTATTGAGACTATCCATTGCTATCTTATTTATTATAAGAATATGCTTTTAATATATTTTCTATACCCTTAAGATCCTTTTTCCATTCACCTACCTTATCTCTTGGCCTTCTTATATACCAAGAGCTAATTCTTTAACCAATAGCAACTTATCTAAAATAATATCCTCTACAATGTTACTTATTTTATTTTCACATTTATTTATTTATTTTATTACTCCAACTTTGCTATTTGTTAAAGGCTTTTAATCATATGCCTTAATGAACATGTGATGTCTATCTTTTATTAATACTTTTGTCAACAAATCAGCAAGCATGTATTCCATTGCATAATACTCATATCAATTACTTCTATTTCAATCTTCTCTCTTATGAAGTGATATTAAATTTTAATAAATTTGGTCTTTGAATGATGCTTTGGATTCTTTATAAATGTAAGACATCCTTAATTGTCATACACTATTAAAATTGCTTCCATTTGTACTATTGTAATGTCCTCTAAAAGTTGTCTTAGCCATATTGCCTCCATTGCACCATAGCTTACTGCCATGTACTCGACTTCTATTATTGATCTTGCAATTGTGAGTTGCTTCTTGCAATTCCATGAGATAATTTTTATTCTAATAAAGTATACATATCCTATTGTTGACCTTCTATCATTTGTATCTCTAGTCTAATGCACATCACAATAACCATGCAAAGTAATGTTATCACTTCGAAATTACAATTTAAAACTCAAAGTGCTTTTTAAGTATGTCATGATATTTTTGATGGTTTTTTAATAGAATGGTCCAAGTTTTAACATGTGTTGACTCATAATATTCACTGCATATGCAAGATCCACCCTTATGCCAACTATTGCATATATAAGTGAGTCTACTATTGCCTTATGTAGAATACCTTACATTTGGCCGTCAACTTCAGCAAACTCTTTATTTGTGAGTTTCATCAAATTCAAATTGGACTCCAAAAGTATACTTATAGGTGTCATAGACATACACATGTAAACCAATAATTACCTATATGATTAAATAAAAGTAAGTAAAAGTAGATTAATTCCATAATATCTTCTATACAAGCTTTCTAAAAGCTTCAAAGACACTACTTAGACTTTATAAGTGTCTATAATTGACTTTTTTTGGTTCGAATCGTAGTCAAAAAATTAGCCATGTACCACACATGTTGGTAGCTTGAAGAATAAGCTAACTATGTGGCGTGCATATAGAAAACTTACCTTGTAAGCTAAGGCATGTGTTCTGCAATGTCAACACATATTAGAGGTCCTATAAAACATTGCCATGTAGCTCTTAGTTGGATAGTATATATAGAAGCAAGAGTGAAGCCCTCTTCATTCTTGTCAATTCTTCTCTTGCTTGTAGTCTAGGTTCAAGCGTTTGTAGATTCCTTGACTTTTGATAATAGCCATTCTAATTTTCTTTTAATATACATATAGTTTTTTTATTTTTTTATATTTTTTTTATTTACTTTTATCAAATTCTTATTCCTAAAAGTTTGACAATAGTACACTTATAATATTAGAACTTTGTCTTTTCTTGATTAAGAGTGGATTATCTTTTTTTTTGATAAGACATTAGCATATTAGAAGTTACAAATTACCTTCTTTTAAACTCATATTATTCTTAGTATCTACTTTGATGTTCAATCCTCTCTTCTATAGAACTTGAACAAAATTAGATATTTTTTTTAAGTATTATCATGATAGAGCTTATTGAAATGAAGAGTGCAATGGCACAATTGTAAGAATAATTGAGAAAATTAATGCTTGCGATGCATCAACTGAATTTACCACCACAAGGAGCAACAAAAGTGGTAGGAAGTGAAGATATAGATATGATTGGAGGTGCTTCAATTTTTGTACCAAATCATGTTCCTTTTCCTACAATAGAACATCCTTCCGGTACTAGAGAACTAAGAGTTATCCTACCTAAGAAGTTTAATGGCAGAAGATCAAATGTAACAAGGTATAGATAAGATAATTGTATAGATAGTTAGAACCATGGAAGTTTCTAGAATTAAGATTAAATTAGTGGATTAGTTAGGATCCACTGTGGAACATTCTGTCAGGGACAAGAACTCGATGAAAGCTAAAGAGTAAGTGAGACTTTTTTCAAAAAGAAATAGGACAAAATAGGAATATGTATATTAAGAAAGAAACTGGAATGGCTATTGCCAAAATACAAGAAAACTAGAGACCCTTGAAACTAGACTAGAAGCAAGAAAGGAGTTGACAAGAGTGAAGAGAGCTTCACTCTTGCCTCTATATATACTATCTAACTAGAAGCCACGTGGCGATGTTCTATAAGACCTCCAATATATGTTGACTTTCTAGGCCACATGCCTTTGCTTGCAAGGCAAGTTTTTTATGGATGGACCACGTAGTTAGCTTGTTCTTTAAGCTTCCAACATGCGTGGCACATGGCTAACTTGTTGACCAAGTTTCTAACCTAAAAGTCAACTATAGACTCCTATAAAGTCAAAGCAGCGTCTATGAAGCTTCTAAGAAGCTTCTCTAGAAGATATTACACAATTAACCTACTTTTACATACTTTTATCTATTCATATAGGTAATTATATGTATGTCCGTGACATTACCCCCCCTTCTAGGGACGAGTTCCACGAGGAGCGGTGATTATATATTGAGAAAATCTAATATGCGGCAAATTGTATTTGCTACATACTCTGATCTTTGTTCTCTTCGAAGATAGTTGATGGGTCCTCTTAGCCATCGATAGTGTCCCATTCCAGGGCGAGAAGACCACCCTGTTATTTGATCACTGTTGAGGCCTTCATAACTTCCTTCAAATAATACATTTGAAACACCATGAGGAGTCGTTCCTATCTCCAATAATATCACCAAACATCGAGAATCTCTTCCAAGGTCGTGATACCAAACGCGTTGTATCTCACCATCTATTCAAGGAAGAACATGTCGTTCTTGAGGGTCTTCATTTCGGTTGCGTCGTCTTGAAGGTTGTGACAATCGCAATGTCTCATCCGGTAAGTCAGCAAACGAAGGTTCTTGAGTTGAATCCGCTGGTTGTTGGCTCTCCATCTAATTAGCGTCACAAAATGCAAAGAAGTTACAAACAAGGATAGGAAATTGAATGTTATCTTGCCTCAATCTTGTCTCTTTTATAAGAGAGGTTTTCATCTTGGTTTTGATGGATGTCGTTGATGAAAAACTTTGACTTTAGCTGATGCATTTGCTAGATTCCTGGATGGCTCCCATGTGCGCTCACTAATATCATATCCGCACCAATGAACAAGATATTCCAGCTTATTTCGGCGCCGCCTTGAGTCTAATATCTCTTCCACCTCAAATTCTTCATTATTATCTACTTCTATAGGAGGCGGTGGCATTTGTCTTCTTCCTTGTATATCCACTATCTTATATGGTTCAAGAAGAGACACGTGGTATACAGGATGGATCTTCATTGACTCCGGTAGATGTAACCGATATGCAACTGGGTTGATCTGTTCAGAAACAGAAAAGGGGCCAAGCCTACGATAGTCCAATTTGTCACAAGGTCGAGTGGTCTTGATATTGCGACGAAGTAGCCATACCTTATCACCTACGTTGAGTTGTGGTTGCTCTTTACGATATACATCTGCATTTATCTTTTGTCGTTCTTGAGCTTTCTTCAACTACGCCTTCATTATTGCATGTAACTCTGACAACCGATTTGCTATATCTTCTGCTGCAGGATTATCAACTTTTGAAAAATCAAAAGTATCAAGTCGTGGATGATAGCCATAATTGGCAAAGAAAGGTGTTTGTTGCGTGGAGGAATGTACCGTATTATTATAAGCAAACTCTGCCAATGGCAGAAGGTTTGTCCAATCATCTTGTTGGTAGTTGATGGTACATCTTAAATACTGTTCCAAGACTTGGTTTACGCGCTCTGTTTGTCCATCAATTTGAGGATGGAAAGCTGAAGATAGCTTTATGTCCACTTTTAAAATCTTGAAAAGAGTCCTCCAGAATCTCGATACAAATTGAGTTCCCCTATCTGATATGATATCTTTAGGTAATCC